TAAATAAATCGATGATTTGTTAATCCACTGTGTCCTCACCTAAAATTCTGGATTTTCAAGATCATCCATGTTCTGGTAGTCTTTGTCAACTTTGTAAACCTTATGAGCCATAAAGACCTGTCCGTTTTAAATGTGGCTTATGATTGCTGAACATTTGAAAGGTGGGGATTTACATTGTTTTTAACAGATCTCAGGTTCTGCTGAATTGATGGAATTTCATGAAACTTTCCCTACAGTAAAATTTCAAGGTGGAACAATAATTATGTGGAGCAGTGTAGCAAAATAGGCTTGATTTTAAACTCAAAGGCTATCTAAAGCTTCACAAAAACAAAAGAAAACCCCGATTACTTGAGTTGACCAATAAAAACTACTGAACAGTTTCTAATTGTAACAGTAACTCAATGAAAAATTAGGCATTCTATGAAAGGTGTCGGAATATAGTCGAACTGAAATATTCATGAGGTGATAGCTAGAAATCACTCTTAAAACGGACAAAAACAGATTTCAGCTGAATTCAAAACATAACACACTGCTGTCTGAATTCAAAATTCAAACAGCAGTGTGTTATCTTTTCTCTAATTACATTCCAATTTGCTGATTATATAGTCTGTAGGACTGCCTCTAAAAAGCATGTGAGTGTTAGCCGCATTTCCAAGCTTAGCCTTATTTGAATTTTGATGTCGATGATACTCCTTCAATGTTTAGTTTTCGGTAGTTTTTTTTTTGTCAAAGTACATGTGGTGAAACTTTGCAACCTTCACGTTTTTAAATTCCAGGAAGACTGATATTTTTCTCAAAGTGTAGAGTGAGTATTTAGATAATTGTTGCCAAACAAACTTATTTGATTTTTGAAACAAAAAAAAATACTGTATATGTATTAAATTTAGAGGTTACTATATTTTTGCAACGAAATATTCATGCAGACCGTTTTGTCTGAGAAATTGTTTTCCAATAGTTACCGTAAAGCCTGTAATAGAAGGGACCCTACACTGTCAAGTTTGAGGTGAATTATCTCGGTTCTCATGAAACATAAAAAAAGGTGTCTACTAAAAAAGTCTTTATCATAATATCAGAAACATTTTATCGGTAGACAACATTTTTATATCTCTTACAGTAACCGAGATAAATTGGCTCAAAGTTGAAAGCTAAGGGGTCCTTCTATTACAGGTTTTATAGTAGGTAGATTTCATCATTCATAACAATTCAAACGAGCGGTGTTCGTTTTTCAGTTTTTTTTTAGAACAATTTCCGTTTTTTTTTTTCATTTTCGTTGGCACTTAATCAATTACAAAATGCTATGAGAGTCCACCCTTTCCCACGTTACGCCTTGACTCTGCGAAAAATTTCATTTGATAAAAACGGCGGACTTACTTCTGATTTTTTTGAGATCGTTTTCTAAATTAGGACTACGGTTTTCTCTGTTTTTGTTGTGTGTTCAGACTACTGTATGGAATTGAAGCGATCCCATTTTTCCTTTTTTTAAAGTTAAGCTAATAATATCATGTACCAATGGGACATTTGCAGCTAAGGCTTGTCAAGTATATTACAAAGTACTTTAAAAGTACACAAACTCTTTGAAAAATCACAAAAATTTATAAAACACTTCCAGTTTTTTCTCGATTTCCAACTTTGTAGGTTAATCTCTTAGCTAGGTTACTCCATTAGCTAGAACTTCCAGTACACCAAGGACATAAAGGCAGTCCGTGACTACACACCACACTAGATTCCCACGCCCCTCTGATTTGAGGTACTTATCAAAAAGTCCGAAATTGACGAACACACAGACAGATATAAAAGCCCATGGTAGGAAATAAATAAAGCATATCAGTTTTACATCAATCGAAAAGTCCTAATCATTTCTACGTTTGAAAAAATGACTTTGTTTTTTTTATATTATGAAATGTGTGAAACAAAGTTAGAGGTTAGAAAATAATTCCGATCCATCTCAGAAAATTGTAAGCTAGAAATTTCACCATGCCTTTTTCAAGAAACTCTGATGTTTATCGAATGTTTGTGTTACTTGCAATGTAATCACTAAAAGGTTATAGCAGGTTTATTCCCAGATTTTTATGTTCTACAGGGAATATATTGTCTAGAATATCAATCCAGCAACTCGAATGTTCCAAAAAAGCACTTTAAGACCTCTTGCTTTTTTCGATTCTAACAAGGGAACCATGTTTAGCCTTCATCTCAGAATTTTTTCTAAATTTTCTCATTTATAGTTTCAAATACGGGCTTTCTCGTGGTGTATTTTTTGCACAAATTTCTAGAATCCCAGAAAAGTCCATCTGAAAATATGCTGTTTTTTTGGTCTCCTCCTTCCCTTCCACTTTCCCCTCCCCCCCCCCCCCTTCCTCTATACATTCTCCACTGTGGAAGAAACTAGCAGCAGTGGCCGGGTTGATAGTGGGGATGAATAGTAATCACAAGTTGGGGGTTCGATTCCGTCACTGTCCATTTTCTTTTTTCTTTTTTTTTCTTTGATGTTGGAGGAAGGCTTTGAACTTTTCGAAAATCAAAACTATGTTTGCTCTATTATTTCAGTAGGAAAAATGCTCGAAAAAGATAATTTCTGAAAAATTCTTGAAGCACTGCTGAAAAGCCTTATCTACTCAAAATGTCAGTCGAAATCCCCCTATTTGATCATATAGGTTGCGGAACTGTCATAAATCAGTCAAGAAGTATGTAAATCTATGTTTTCACAATATTTGAGTGCTATTGGGTGATTTTCGAAGGACTACGATTCATTGGAGTTTTGGAAGAAATCACTTATTTCGGATTTCAAAACGGATATAGGCTACAGAATCTTGTGAAAAGACTCATTTTATCATTTTTATGCGTGTAGAATTCATTTTAGCACATTAAAAAAAATTTCGAAAAATTGAAAATTTCGCAAAACCCATGGCAAAAATTTTTTCAAAAATTTTTTTTTTTGAAAAATGAGGAAACTTTGTCAGATTGTAGAGAAATTTTAATAATTGCGATTGACACTTAAACTATGCCAAAAAACTCCCATTAACCCTTTCAAAAACTCACTCCAAAAGTGAGAAATTAGTACTGAAATCACTTAAACAGCCCATAACTCGACTTCTAGAAATTTGTGCGGAAAACCAAATACATCAAAAGAAAGCCCGTATTTGAAACTATAAATGAGCAAATTTAGAAAAAATTCTGAGATGAAGGCTAAACATGGTTCCCTTGTAAGCACATTAAAATGCCGCCCATTTGTTCATCTCATTTCGGTTTATTAGTCTAAACAAGTGTGTGACTTCCGATTTTTACTTACCGGTAACGTCTTTTTTGGTGATTTTACCGGTAAAAATTTACTGAAGTTTACCGGTACCCTACCGGTTAATTTCGAAAACTACCGAAGATTTACCGGTATTTTACAATTAAAATTTTTATTTTCCTTCAATTTTTAGTCGCAGTTCTAAAATGTCGCGGTTCTGAAACGTCGCGGTTCTAAAACATCGCGGTTCTAATAAGTCGCAGTTCTGAAACGTCACGATTCTGAAACGTCGCGGTTCTAAAACGTCAAAAAAAACTTTTTTTGAAAATTTTCCTAAAAATTACCGATAGTTTTTGTTAAATTTACCGGTAACACTACCGGTAATTTTACCGGTAAAATACCGGTAAAGGTACCGGTAAAAATTCCGGTAAATTTCCCGAAATATCGGTAGCACACACTGGTCTAAACTACTGTCAGCTAAAAATTATCGCAGTGAAATGATTCATATCGCTTCTCACTATCGGAAAAAATATTTTGCGTGAAGTCTGATAATGAGACTTTGCTGCCAAAAAGACACAGGTGTCACCGAAGCAGCATTATCCTTCTACTTGCACACAATTCATAACGTTTGTTTCTTAATTTTATTTCTCATTTTTCTCACCGTTTATCGTTTTCTTTCTCATGTGGTTTTTGGTGAGCAAACACAAAATTTTTTCAAATCTTCACTTATCACTTAATTTCTAATCTGCATGATATGCAAAATTCAGTTGACTTTGAGCCCTAATTACTATGTTTTCACGGAATTACTATTTCTTCTGCTTATTATCTTGTTCAAATGTGTTTTGAATATCAGTTATAAAAAATTCGGTACATTTTCTCTTCCCACGTTTTCCACAGAGATTATACTACTCTGCCTGCTTATCATTATCAGTCTGCTTCTTTGTCTACTATAAAAATGTCTATAATTTCTGAAGTTAGTTAATTTTGAATAGCTAAAAATTTATATCGGAATTTTTATGATAAAGCGCACATGTACTTTTTCAAAGTTTCCTTTTCTAAATGCTTTGTTCTTATGGAACTCCCCCTTTCTGCTGATTGCTCTATTATCCTTATATCAATTGAAACCACTTTTCCAGCTCATATTTCAAGTTTCAAGACTGAAAATATTTTTTTTCGATTCTCGAAAACAAAAAATATTCTCGAAATGTAAAATTCAAAGTTTGCAAGACAAAGATCCAAATGAATCGGCGACTAACGTTTTGAGTTATAATGTGAAATTGACTTTTTAATAAATTGATTTTGATTTCGAGATAAAAGTAACAAAATCAAGCAAAAATCTAGTTATCAAAAAGTTTCACGTTTCCCATCTTTTTGGGTGGATACTCTCATAAGAGGATTTATGTTTATATACGTCTTTTCCCAAAACTTCGAGGGATTTTCCTTGATATGTACTTTTTTCCTTTTGAACTTCACTCTCAAAAAATGTAAAGTAATTTTTTGAAACTGTCACTTATCAAAATTTGCTCACGCCCACGAGTTTTAAATGTCAGAATATTTTCCAACTTTTCGAGCCAACCAACTAGTTATTAACTTTCACTCCAATTTCTCTTTTTTCGTGTTTTCCCAGGTTTTCAAAACAAAATCTATATTTATTCGATTTTTTTCTTTCAAATGAACTAAACTTTTGATATCCCACCTACAACAGAAAAAAAGTTTTTCAGATATTCTAAAAGAGCATCGCACTTTTTCGATATTGAAAAAAATGAACAGAATGGGAAACACAGAAGAGGTATGCTAAACAACTGCCTGCTTTTTTCATTTCTACTTTTTTCCCAGAAACCAGATGACCAGAAACCAGATGAAAAAGGGGACCCAGAAGAGTTGTGCTCTGCTAATGTGGGCATTTTCAGATTTTTCGCAATTTTCAATTATAAATTTCAGCGACCAGACGCGGATTATAGCTGGAAACTGCCACACATTGATTTATCACAGATGAATGATCCGTTCAATCTTCGCCCAGCAACCAATTCGGTTCTACCACTCAAGTAAGTCAAGAGGGAAGTTTTCACAAATCAATAAAAATAGAACACTCAGTTTTCACGTAGGTATCTGTATTAGAAGGGCTCCTGAACATGGAGGGCCTCTTTGATCAAAGCTATACATATTATTTATTCTGTTAAGAAGAAATTTGTGATAACTGTCAAGTAGGAAATACAATAATTTCACAGAAAAACGATTTCCCTCTAATAGAAGTGCGCTGCTTAAAGACACAACGAAATGTACATGTACACTCTCTAATTGAAAGGTGCATCTAATTGGAGATTCTAATGCAGGTTTTAAGGTATTTCAATTACAGAGTCTATGGACCACCACCAGTTCCAGAAGGATTTGAAGAACAGTTGAAATCAAGTGGAGGTCATTTTGGTAATCTTCAACAAAAAAAGAACTTACCTCACATAGCGCTAACTTTAGGCGCACTGTTTGCTCCAATCCCAGGATTCAACTACGACGTCAAGCCAACAAAACCACCAACGCCACCACTACCACCACCAGCAGCACCAACTGTTGTGGATACTGTCCATCCAATCCACATGGACTCTCCTCCGTATCCTTATATACCCAGACCAAGATATCCAACGCATCAGATGCATCCTCCCCCTCATCAGATGAGTCCGCAGTTTGGCGAGTATTATGTACCAGCTTATTATTTTCCTCACACTACTCACTTTCGGGAAAGAGCATGGCGAGGACCACCTCATCCTGATCCACCAATGGTCCGCCCACCGACTAATCCAGAAGCGGGGATGTTTGTTCCGGGAGGCCCTGGTCCAAGGTAAAGGGGTCATTAGATGAGATTAGAGAGGAATGGATTAATGGGGGGAGTGAGAAATTACCGTATTTTCTTTAATAGAGGCCCATGAATCTCCTTCTCAGGGTGGACTTCCATAGAGAAATGGCTGCAAATAGAGGGTTTTTGGTTTTGAACTGAACAGTAATATCCAAAACGCGACAAGAATAAGGGGAAATTAACGGAAAAGTGGGCTTCTATTAGAGGAAGTGCGTTATTATATTGTAATCTATTGAATTCTTACCCCACACTATTGCCAAATTTTTTGAGGAAAACAAGGGAAGATATGCATAGTGAACTAGTCTTATCATTGTTGTTTCCGCCGAATTTCCAATACTGTGATAGCAAATAAATTTTTTTTTCAGTGGACCCTACTACCCGCGTCATTAATAGGCTACCCACTGCTTTCGAATAGCTCTTCTTCAACAATTTAAAAATATCTTGACTTCGTTTTCTTTACTTCAATCTACTAACTTTTTTCAAAATCTTTGCACAGTTTAGAAAAATTCGCAACTCTAGCCAACATCTCAATTTCTAGTTATCCCAGTTGTTTTTACAGCAGATATCATCTTTTTCAATCAAGAAATACATTTAGAATACTTGGTATACATACATATTTGGTACTATTTTTGGTAAAATGTCTGAAATAAGAAACTCAGAGTTTGATAACTGAAAAATATTTCAAAAAAACTTAAAATACATATTTGATCTAACTTCTCTAAAAACATGTGATTCATTAAACTTTTTGATACATGTTTAACTAAAAGCCGCCCCCTCCAAAAATTATTTTTATTTGAAAGGAGTTCTAGTTGATTTGTCTTGCTGTGTGCAATTTTAGTCTCTGTAACTCCCAGTTTTTGTCTCTTCCTTCTGTCTTCAATGTTTTTTTCCCTTACGATTCTCATTTTCAAGCTCATGTCATAAAAAATGAAGATCAAATAAATAATTTTCAATTTGATACTTTTTTTTTAATTATCAGAAATCAATGAAGATATAAGTTCTGCGACTCCAGAAAGTATTCTAAAGTTGTTCAAAATCTTTAAAATGAGAGCTGTGAAATTTGGAGCACATTTTCCAGAGTCGCTCATGGAGTAGATGCGACTCGGCATTGCCGTTGTCCCGTGGAAATTAATTTCTTTTTACTTTCACATGAGCAATCGGATTCCGTTTTTGTCTTATCCCATTGCTGAAAAAATTGAGTATCTCAATAAAGTTGTCCGAATTGAATTCGAATATTCTGTTTCTCAATTTCGAAAATACTCACCCCATACATAGCTTCCTCACAATGTTTCAATCTCTGTTGTGCTGACGACGAAACGTATTCTGCGGATTTCGCTACCGGGAGCAAATGAGATGGTAGATTTGAAGGCTCACTGAAATCATTTTCACTAAACCTGTCGAAAATAGTCTACTTACAATAGTGGTACAGTCTCGGTTTTCATTGCGGATCCAAATAATATTTTGGGCTTCTGGGGAACTAGAAATGACTGATAAATCAAATTTGAAGTTCTTCATAGTATCTACCTGAAATTCCTGCTCCATATATGGGTTCATTGAGGAATCGCAAGCAAATTTTTTTCTTAGCTAAACGCATCTCATCGAATTGATCGAACAAGGCTTCACGATAATTCTCATAAGACATTCCAGCCGGTCGTACAGTGATCCTAAAAATTGTGATTCGATTTTTAAAATTTATTGATTTTTTTCTTACAATTTCTTCTCCGTCTCATAACAATTTTTCAAAGCCGAGTTTTGAGTTGAAACTGGTCCAGATTGGGATTGTGAAATCTGAAAAGAAGTATGAAAAATGAGGGTTCCTTTGCCAATAACACAATATTTGATTTTTTTTAGTTTTGCACCAACTCACCTGATCCGTTGCCGGCTGGTGTTTTTCTGGATTGGAAAATGGTTTCTTTTGAACAATATTATCTTGTAAACTTCGTCGGTCCATTGTCTGCTCCATCTTATCATTTGGAAGTATACCAATATTTCCGGAAGACACTCCGACGGGATTGCTAACTTGATATGATACACGAATATCTTGTGCACCGGGTAGGCCCAATTCGAGTAAACTTGGAACATGCGACAATGAGATACTTGATGATTGGCGATAAATTGGATCCATTGCTCTCTCTATAACTCCTGGAGAGGGAAGGTAGATCGAACCTAGTAATCCTGGAATCCTGACTTGTTGAGTACCCAATGATCCATGATGAGCTTGATTGTTCTGAAAATGTATTTTTAACAGCATTTGTCTTCTTGTTTTTTGTCTAAACTAGACTCTACCCGCCCCATCAAAAATTAAACATCTCAATTTTGAATAACAAAAAATCAGAATTTAGATTTGAACAACGCTATTCTGATCAACAATCTCCAGAGTGTCAATTTTTGTTTGGGTACAGTTAATTGGGCTTTAGTGCATTTCACAAAACGAAAAAAAATGTGCTCGGTTAAATCAGAATGGATAATATTTTCAGATTTTCATGGGCAGTGGCGTCCCTTTTCTTTCTTTTGGAATTTTTCTACGCCCATACATACTTTTCAGGATCAAAACTTCGAAACAAAAAAATAAACTCACAAATAAGGAAGAAGGAATTGGAAAACTTGAAGAATTCTGCATCAGTGGTGTACTTGCACCTGGAGGACCAGTGCAGCTTCCTCCAAAAACTGAATTCGATTCACCAGACTTTTCAATTTCTTGCTCATGGGGTTGGCGGGAATTAGATCCACCTTGAGTCGTCAAATCGGAAGAAAATGAAGGTTGGTGACCATTTGAACCTAATTTATGTTGCCTTGGATTGGTTGTTCTGCCGTTATTTGCCCTTCGGAGCAGCTTTAATTCATATTTATAATCGTCTTTTTGTCTGCCCTGAAAAATATGAGTTGAAAAAAACTAAGAATATGTACAGTTTCTTAACAACCATGGAAGAAAATCAGAAATTCGAAACACTCTTTCACATGTCTTTGAAATCTACTTAAGATAAATTCGCAGGATTCATGTACTGGAAATAGAGAAATCGACCGAACTCACCAGTGTTCGATTGTGAACTTCGCGACAAGTGCATTTAGTCTCGCGGCACATTTTCCATTTTTTGATGTTTGCCTGTTTTGAACCACACTTCTTCATTTTTGGGTCCGGCCTTTGGTATTGTGGAGTGCCGTCACCACCGTTTCCAGGCTGATTAAATATGCTCGAATAATGTTCTGGACCATCGGTTGATTTCTTCTCAATGTGTTGTAGAACTTGAATTTCATTATCGTCCTCGTCTAGTGAGTATTTTATTGCTATCCCCGCCAGGTAGTGATTCATTGTGGACGTGTCAGTCAAATTGAGTTGTAGCTTATTCATATTTGCGGACGAGTTTGAAGGCGGGTACACAGGTTTTACAATATGTTGTGGTACAAATGGCATTGGACAGAACATGTTTGGTAACCCGAAAAAAAAGATAAATATAAAAGTGAGATACCATAACCACCCAAATAAAATATACGATCACAATTTTGAGCCAATTTATCTCATCCCTCGTGAAAGATATCAAAAAGTGGTTAACTAATAAAACAATTCTTAAGTTCTGATGAGCATTTTTTGTGAACAATTTTGTGATATCTTTTACAGGAAATGAGATATACGAATTCAAAGTTAACTGCTCATGGAGGGAGGAGCCGTTATTATCTCAGTAATTTTAAAAGATGTTGTAAATTTGCCAACTGATAAAATGTTTGTCATAGCGTCCCCAGCATTTTATCTGTTGATCGATTTTTGATATCTCTTGTAGAAACTAAGATAATTAAGTGCAATTTTCGGAAAAATCGCAATGTTGGGAAAAAAATCAAAAAGGAAGGAAAATGTGAACTATCATCAATGATTCAACATGAATTAAATGCAAATATGAAGGACTGAGGTTGAGCAAAATGTACTCAACGATCAGAAATTGTTCGTTGTATAGACTACTAGTGGTGGGCGTGATTGGGTTTTGTTTTCGATCTCTAACAGAAGACGTGCAGGAGGGCAAAACAAAAATTGTTTCCCGTGAGACACTCCGACACGTGGCCTATAGTATAGGCCTTATACTCAAATTAGATCAAATATGTGCAATCAAATTTTTTAAACAAAAGATGTTGTGAAGAAGCCAGAGAGTGTAAGATTACCAAAAAGGAATATGAAATAAGAGAACTCCGACTAGAAAAAAAAGAACGAAAGATCGCTTTTTTTTCGTGTTTTGTGTGAACTCGAGTAGAGATCAAGGAAATCGAATCTTAATCTTGTTTGCATTAATTCGGTTGGTATTTTGAACAGAAATTTGTAGAAAAAAAGAGGAGGAAGTCTGTTTCTGTAGCTTTCGAAATCAAACGGAAAGAGCATAATGCGTTTTGCAAATCGGTCTAATTAGTACACAACAACATTGTCAGCAAGTCAAAAGTTTGACAAGTCTAGTTTTTAGATATTTGGAATTCTGATGCAGATCTTCAAAAACATGCAAAAAAAAAACGTTTTGACTTCCTGGTCAGAAGCACGTTTAATAAGATTTTAGTACGTTAAAATATTTCAATCTAGTTGATCTCTAGGATCGCTAGGATCAACCAAGGTATAAGTGGTTCTGAAAACAACCAAGAAAAAATATGGAAGAAGATTTTTTAACGAATTTTTTTTTGAAAAACTCTTTTAATCTCGAACAAAAATCAAAGCCTATAAAGTTCATGATATTCAAACCTAAAACAAAAAAAAGTGGAAATTATATGCTTCATTTTTTAGAATACGGTAAACACTCTTAATTTCCTAATTTTTAACTTTGAGCCGATTTATCTTAGTTTTCAGTTGACCAATTTTTGATACCTTTTACAGGCAACGGAATATAAGGGCTCAATGTGGACGCGTTGTGAATTGAGAGTCATTTTATTAAAATAAAATTATTAGCCAGGCTAAAGTATTAAAAGTGAGAAATGAAAAATAATAATGGACACTACACGTTTAAAATACAAAGGCCAAAAATTATATATACTCCACCTGCCCACATTTTCAGGTTAATCCGCTTCAATATCGCGATAAGGAAAAAAAGCCAGAAAGCGAACAAGAGATTTTTGGCGCACATGTGTATTCCAGATATTGAAGTGTTACGGATACATCAATTTTGTGGTTTCGGGAAAAAAAATAAGCTAAAAAGGGAAAAAAAGGTGTTAAGTCAGTTTTAAACAGATAATCCTTTCTATCTGTAATGATGAAATAGTTGATACAGTGAATGAAGAACCGAAGTGTCATTTCGGAAACTTATTTCTGTTCGGATAAGGTATTTTGATGATTTCTCGGATTTGCTAATCAGGATTAGAGACTAGTTTTTCTTTAAACTGAAAAAATTTGGATTTCTATTTTCGGTTGTTTACGAAGAAGATGTTGACAAAAATCCTTGTTCCCCGCAGATAATTGTCAACCTGAAAGCTGAGTAACTCAGGGTCTTCCGATTTTCTCCGCAAAATCCCCCTGAATTACTTTGATTGTTCATTCACTATTTTTCTTTATTTCCAATATTATTCTGTGAACTTATTCGTTCTCGCATTCCTTCAATGCCAATATTCATATTTGAATTACCACTCCTTCTACCCTTTTAAAGGCGCAACCGCGTGGCGAGACCCGCGACGCCAGCCGACAGGCGCCGCGCACTCTCCGCGCGCGCAGTCGTCTCTTGCGTCCGGGCACCGCTTTGCCGCCGGTAGCACCAAGGACTTTTTAGGCAATTTTACTTCCAGATTTCCCCCCTTTTGTACGTTTGGCTATCAGAGGTTTTATCAGCTCCAGTTTCGTGGGTCCGCAAGGTTTCCTGGCGGCCCCGCCGTCAGGTTTTAGCCCTACACCATTATTCCCCCCTTTTTCTGTTCTTGCTGGTATTTGTCTTGGCCCCATCCTTTTCTCTCTAATAAATGGGTCAATGATACTTTGTGTACTGTTTTGTATTTGCACCGCTTATCTCATACACACTTTCACGTTTTTAGGGCGTTCTACAGGCGCGCGAACACTCTCGGGTTAGGACATAGGATCGGTCTCGACTGACTGAGGATCCGCTGTCAACATGGTGCATCGACGGATGGTCCCGTGAATGTTGGAGTTCCAAAAAAATTTGATTTTCTAAAAAATGGGCCTAAAATCACGAACCCAGTTGAATCCGAGAGCTGTTTGCGTGTCTGCGCTTGCCCCACTTCCCTGTTGTGTTGAGACCCTATTTTATCGATTTCCTCTTCTCTCTCCGCTTCTTTCTTGCTAATAATAAATTACAGACCCAATTTTAACCGTAGAAAGTCTTAAAATCCGATCGATCGATGAATGAAACCGAAAAGTTCCAAAAATCTCGAGAAGTGTGCTGAAAAGTCATCTGAAGCCACTATTCATGTATTCTCCCTATTACAAAGGACTATTCCTTGCTTTTCATCAGGATTTCCAGTCAAAATCGTCAAAAATCGCTGAAAATTGATCAAAAACTTCAATTTCGAAACATTTCGAAACTATCGAGATGCTAGAGAGTGTGCGAAACCGAGAGACGTCACAGAGGATGAGAGAGTGTGTAAAGGTGAGAGACAGGTAGAGAATACACTTTAAGATCTTTTTCGTGGAATCATCAATTAAACGAGGTGAGACAAAACAAAATTGCACCGAACTAATATAGGGCATCGGTCAGCAGCGGGTATCGCGTTTCATGTTCCGCCGCTTTTTAATATCACTTGTACTATGTCAAACATCAATTTGTGAAAAACTTCTGATCGCATAAAACGGGTTCAAAAATCAAGAATTCGTTAGTGCCAACCATAAAAGTGTGTGTGTGTGTGTGTCCGGTGTTCCCGGGTCACCTGTCCTGGCTAAGTACTCATTGGACCAAAATTTTCACTTTCACGGATGACCCAAAATAACAGCGAGATAATGCCCGACTACTTTTGATTTTTCGAAATTTTGTTTCTGACGTCTTCTGGAGACGTTCTTTTATTTCTAAGAAGCAAATCTTTAAAAAATTTTTGAAGCAATATTTACGTCATTCCCGTCTAACCGCCTAAATTTTTTTCTTATCCACGCTTTTTCTGAGAAAAAGGTGACTTTGTGGGGACTTTATTTTAGCCTTGGTTTTGAAAATTTGAAAAAGATAAAAAAAATCTGAAACAGGGGGAAACAAGATAATGAAAAAAAAGAGAGATTTCGCTTTCTGGATCACTCGAATTTTCAAAATTTTCAGAATTTCTGATTTTTCAACTTTTCAGGTTTCCAAAAAAAGGAGTTTCAAAGTTTCCAAAATTTATTGTTTTCGAATTATTGAATCTAAATTTCTGAAGTTCCAAAGTTCCCAAAACTTTTAAAATTCTTCTAAAGTTTTTGAAATTCAGTCATCAGTAGTTTCGAAACTTTAAAAATTGGAAAATCAAATATTCAGGAATTTTTGTGACTTCGGAAACTCGGAAATTTAGAAATTGAATTGTAAGATACAGTATACGGAAGCCACCTGGCGATCGTCGAGAAGACGCTCCTCGTCGATATCCATCAGCGACGTCGAACCGACCGATTTTCGATCATCCGAAAGAGCTTCCTGCTCTTTTCGCAGTCGCTCCTTGTCTTTTGGTGTCATTGGACCCCTCGAGTTCTGCAAAAATTTGAATTTCTCGGTGTTGCAGCAGAAAAGCAATGAGAATTTGGCGAAAAAATACGAAATTTGAAGGAAAGAGCGATATCAACGGCGAAAATTCAACAAAATCGGATTGAAAATAGAAACAGATTAATCTTTCATGATCTAAAAATTCCCTTTTTTCAAATTTTTTAAAATCAAAAACTATGGTTTCCATGATCAAAGTACAAAAAAACTCAATTTTCATTTCTCAAGAGTTATCAAATTCTCAACCTCCCCTTTCTGAGAAAAGTCTTCTAGTTCCCATCTTTGACAAAAATTGTGCCGACAACCATATAAAAGCAGAGCACAGCAGCCCAAAATACCAGATCATTCGAGAATGAAGGTCCTACTTCTTTTCTCGGCTTTTGCGTTGCTGTCAACGCCGTCCAATGGAGTGAGCTTGATTTCTATAACATGCTTCGTCGCGATTTTGCCAAAACCAATGCGATTCCTGACATGTGGAAGTTGGTGAGTTTCAAGATCTTCAGAGAGCGTTTTCAGATAGTTAAGATCATGATTGTTTTAATTTAGCATATTTCAGACTTGGGACAAGAAGTTGGAGGTGCTTGCCAACAAATTCGACTGCAATGATAAGGCTGTGAGGAAAAATTACCGTTATTTCTTGACAGATGGAAGTCCACGCAATGAGTCCAAAATTGTCGACGCTGATACGCTCAATTGGATGATAGAGACTGAAAAGACAAATCCTGCTGAACTAACGAAAACGGTAAAGGAGTGGGAAAAGACGACAGCTCGATTCTTCGAGTACGTTAACAATATCCAAACC